TCATTAAGCCTTTATATGGTGCTCTCTCACACGATGGGGTTCATTCTGGAACCATTATAATTTAATTGCATTTTGAAGTTCGGACCCAGTCCCTTTTTCGGCCAATTGAGGGGCGAGAATGAGGCTTGTGAGTTTTCTGAACGGGCTGCCCGTGCTGTCGCCAAATATTAGTTCCGCTTTCGCCCTACCCACACAAGATAACAGGATTTACTTCAGTGTGTGGAATTATGGCACAAAATCAGACCACCTTGACAACAAAGAGTCATTCTGAGGCAGGCAAGAAAGACCCGGTTCTGAACTACGTCTTAAAGCATTCCTTGAGGGAGACGGACACGCTTCGAAAAATACGAGAGGTAARACAATCGATCTATATGTGTTACTTATTCTGCATGTGTAAGTACAAAATAAGCGATTTTTTTCAGCGTCGCATCCACACGTCTCTGATCGTGTCTGGAGATTTTCSAAAACGCACTTAATCGTAGCTCCGAATATAGCCTGTGTTAATTTCCGTCAGCTCAGCAACGTGGCATCCCACACAAAGATGACCCCCACAAATATTGTTACAATAATATTCGACTTCCCAAAAACCTTCAAAGACCCAAGTGTCCATAATTCTTCCAGAAAACTGATAAGCAGTGAAAAAAGCAACAAGAATACTGTAGTGATCCTAATTGTTTCAAACATTCGAGACCTGTACATGTTTCATCGCCTAAATCAATCGATCCATCGCGAATGCGATCCCGTTAAATACCTTGAGGAAACTTGTTTAACGCGTTGGACACTAGGCCTTGAGACTAACAACAAATGCAGTATCCTAATTAGACTTCCATGTATGGATGATACACTATACATGTACACAGAGAAACTTCATCATAGCCGACTTTACGAGATATTTTGGTTCAGTGACCATGCATGCACAAAAGAATTGCAGATCGAGGCTCCGGGGAAATAGAATGAAGATTATCCATTGTTTTCCCAGAGCCTTGTGTGCGTTCTTTTGTACATATAGTCATCGAACCAAAATATCCAAAGTTGACTATATTGTGTCACGCATGTTACAGAGCAGGTAGCCTGAGTACATGGTCTCACTCGGAAAATAGAAGCAACATGACGCTATCTAGGCTA